AATTATTATAATTGTGAATGAAGTCTTTTGATAAAACATAAACTGCTGCAGCATTGTGATAATGCCTCTCCCCTCCTTTGATGCTACATTTTCTGCAACACATAACACTACATCTTTGTACCTAGTCTCATGCATGTATGACAAGTGCACTGATCGTAAGCCTGTTATAATTTCAAAGCACCACCTTTTAACCCATCTCTACTTCTCTAGTAACTATGCACATAAGCTACTTTATCACATGCAGGTCATCTATGAATGGCAGAAATATTTCAATTCACACAAAAAAACAAGGAGTATGGGCATGAAGAATACTTCATACTCACCTTCTGATGTGGGAATATATGTGGTAGCTGTATAAGCATTCTAAGACCACGGTTGGTATTGGAGTCCAGCTCCTTCATCAAAATACGCCTCTTGAAACCCCTGGAAAAAAAACGCATTGAATGATGTGTCATCAACGAGGTCCAAAGCGATTTCCAACAACACGCCTACACTTAGGACATCTCTTCCAAGGAAAAGAGAGCCATGACACTCCGCAATCTAGGCAACACTGAGATGTTCACTACCATCACACTAGTTAGCTACTAAAATTCGTTTTGGAATACACCAGAATCACATATAAAACAGCCTGCACATAACACATTTTGTTCGATAAAAAATTTGTCCGCATACCACGGGTCATATCTCTGTGCAAAATGTGAAAAACAGCATATACTGGTGTAGGTTTGGTAGGGCTCAGAGGGGAGGACAGAAAGTGCTCTGGGTTCTACGGCACCATGTCACGCGAGCGCACGCTGAACTCCTCGTGTTTGACGGGCTCTGCCGACGATCTGCCGACGAAATGCGACACAGCTGCGGCTTGAAACGTGGTATAAACAGAGTTCATACATTCGTTTATGAAGTCGCTAGCACAGTTTGTGCTGGGAGCCGCTTAATTCGCAGACGAAACCTCTAGAAACTTACTGCAAGCCTGGCTGCCGTTGATTACGCAAAGGAATTTGTATGCGTAGATGTTTTCCGTTTTTAAATAAATCTCCGTATATACGGAGAATTGGCGGTACGACTGATATGCCATTTATGTCGCCACCTTTGATACGCCCACATACCGCGCTAATACAATATGATATTGGAAAACCCGACACAAACTACATGCACAAAAATTGCAACTAACTGTAAGATCCAGTGTTCCTTGCGACAAAAATGCTTTTTGCAATCTCGATTGTACAACATTAACAGAAGTCCTTGACAATGAGAAAACTGCGACAGTTCCTTCTCCTCCCATATTGTTCGAAAGAGTAAATTGTTTAGAAACATGGTTATCTCAGCTAAATCCTCATTTTTAAAACTCCTCTGTTTCTCAAACAAATCAAAATCATCCAGAATACTGCATAACAAAGATGACAATGTGTTAATGACCCACATCTAAACCTTATTATTGTACATGTACGTGATATAAAAAGGGTTATACATATTACACACATGCACTAGACTTCGTGAAAAAGGGCCGATAAAGGTCTGAATTGTCCGTTCTTTGTTGGGAACAGCATGAGTGCACCAAAAGCAAGATATGACAGAGAGTTGTTCAGACCAGTTCGATTATTCTGGTGGAATCAGTTACACAGTTGTTCAGAGTGAAAAAGCACCTCATTCAACAAAGGTCGGGTAAACCTTGGAGCATAACCTCCGACAGCGGCTTAGAGAAGATGGAGAAGTCCATACGTCGTTGACAGGTGCAACTGCATTCTTTGAAGGTAGTCCAGGATTTTTCAGCTTGCAAGCAACCAGGCATTCTTTACCATGCAACATTTACAATTAGATAAAAGCAGTCCTTTTCTGCAGTAATTTTAGAGCTGACCTTTGGCATGACCGGGCAGACTGGGTGAGTAATTATAAAAACCCCAGGAAGTGCGGTTTTTAAGGTAGTAAACTCTCTTTAAAACGTGGATCGTAGGTATACCACTCCTAGCTACACATTTTGTGGCTAGTGGAGATAATCGTAAGTGGAATAGAGGCTTGGATTTAGGCAAGCGGACTTGCAACCTGGATGAACAATGATTGTGGAGCCAGACATTTCGTTGCCTGGATGGATCCTTATCAGAGACAGAGCTTGTCTAGGGTCCTCGCCACCGGGATGGATCAAGAGTAGAGCTTAAAGAGTTGACATAGGACATAGTTTCAAGCCGAATGATCTTTGCTTTGTTTGTGCATGGCTCTATCACAGCTGTGAGGCTGAAACACTTTCTGAAAAATTGTGATTTTCGTAAAAGTACTGTTCCGAAGTTATGGCATGAAAAAGCAAATTAATACTGGCTTTCCTCGGCCAGATCAGCTCGCTTTGCATACCTGAGGAATCAGAAGTTTTAAAGGTAGGGGATTTTTGCAGAAGTTCAACGTAAGGCGTGTTTCCACTTGCACAAGACTCTTAGTTAGCTGGCAAGAGAAAACAAGTATGTGCAGTAGTAATGAAAAGCACTGAAGTGCAAACCCTCAGCGCATTACGCATACGCGGCACCGCTAATTGATGGGCAGGGCTATGAGTATGCGTTTACTGGCGGCCTCCACGCTAGTTGGTTGCGGAGAATCTGACACGGGCTAGCTACACTATAAGATAGCATGCCAATGCAGGAGTCGATACACGGCCTTCATGGTGACTTCTTGTGCCTCTGAAAGGTACAAAGAGCAATCGGTCAAGGTAAGCTGGTGCGATTGTGCATATTGGCTTTTTCACTTGTTTTCACGGCATATCTCTCGAACTCAGTCGTTTCAGGAAAATCGGCCTTTATTTTTCAAGTTCGCGTAGTTATGAAGACGTTGGTATCGCTCATGGGCTGCCTCGTAGCCTGTAGTGCGAGAATAGCTGCTGACAGACAGACAGACAGACGGACACACACACACACACCAAGTACCGTAACCCTTGCTGCGCATGCGTGCCAAGGGTTAAAATAGCCCGGCGCATAAAATAGCAGTACCTCACATTCGTGCACTTATGCGTGCCTATTTTTAGTGCGCAGGGGGTTTGCATTTCAGTGCTTATCATTTTCTGCTGCTCTGACCATGGTAACAATCTACAGTAGGGCTCACAAAAAGGGCTGTTAATGTTTAAGGCGGTACCTGACAACATTACATCCTATATCACAAATGTCGTAAGGTACCCCTCAAAACTTCTGTACATCATGGTGGCCCAGTACATGAAGGACAGCGAGCAACTAACAGAACTTTAAGAAGAGTTGTGTAACAAAAGGCAGTGCCCCTGGAACACTATGTTCATGTATGCTCAAGTTTAGCCAGTTCTTGGTTGTTCCACCTGGCATCCAGCAGCAAAACTAACAATCGTCAATGAGTGGTATACTCCGCTGCTGCAGTCTGTAAAGCTTCTCTCTAGCCTGGTCATACCTTCCTGGAAGCAAACTTCCTCACACCATACATGGTGGATAGGTCTTCTCCTAGCAATGACCCTTCGAGAAATGCTTCAGTCCGCCATTATGTAAAAGGTGAACTGCCCTACCACAAAACCAGTTTTACTGGGCTAAAAATAGATGCCTCATGCAGGATACCAATTTCTTTCCTGCACTGACCGCATGCCACACTGTTATAACAAAGTTGGATATCTCTAATCTCCATTCTTTTCTTAGTCTGAGTGTACATCTAAGTGGTGGTAGTATCAAGGATGGAACTGGTCCAACTACACAGAATATGAAGCTAAGACACACACACATAATATAACTTACTTCAGCATATAGAGCATCATCTGGCTGAGAAGAGATAATATGAGAATGTATGATTTTGTTCCAAAGATCTCTTCGAAATCCAGCATAGTTGTATCTTTAAAAAAGCACCATATCTTAAAGACTACAGTGTCATTACAGCCTAATCCAATAAGTATGTCAGACACAAAATTCTTCACAGTCAATAAAATGAGAAGGTACATCTCACAGACAGAGCTTAGAAATGGTCGTTTCATCTTTAAAGAGTGTTTTTTTGCATTCCCTGAATAGAGAGCAATAAAAACATATTTCAGGAAACACAAAGACAAATTTAAAGTTTCAATGAGTATTTTAGGAGCAAAAGATGGAGGGTTCTCGGTGTGCATGCACAGCGAGAGTTACAGTACTTGGTTTGTGTGTTTGTTTGTCTGTCTATTGCCGCTACTCAGGCACTAAATGCAACGAGGCGAGAAATGAGTGATGCAAACGGCAACAAGAGCATGGATATCAAAATAAAACGAAAGTAAAAATATTATCGATGGCTTTGCGCATTAAACACACAGAAGTATCTAGTCCAGCGTTGCTATAAGTGCCAGTAACTAACACTGCTAGCCAAATTTAGAGAGAGATACCAACATTCAACAGATCAACTAGCTTGCGCATGTGTAGTGTATAGTGACAGCATTAAGCATCTTGCGCCGAGGGTTTGCACTTACCAAAAGATATTCCCTGTGAGAGAGGAGAAAAACTGAATCTGAGCTACATAGAAACACCTACTGCACATATCCCTATGTGAAACAAAGCAACCTGAAGTTTTTAAGGGTAAAAATTTGCCTAGTGAAAGGGTGAATCAGTCTGGGAGGTTACATATCAACAAGTTTATTCCTATAGCTTTCAGTTTGCTCTCTATAGCTTTTAGTGCTTTAGCTGCAACATGACTGCTGTTACTTGCATTAATTGATGTGTTAGAGGCCACGCAACCATTGCGTCACTATCATCGAATCGGATGCCGGTTGGGGAACGGGAATGTCCCTGCTCTAAACTAAGAGGCATAAGCAAGGGTAGAATGGAAGCGAAGGGCAGCGACTTAATCACTACGGCATGGAATCAATACTTGGTCAACAGATAAGAAAATAGCATCTCCAGATATGAAGAGTAGCAGCTGCATAGAGCTGTTGGCTCATCTACCGGTGCAACTTATGATGTACGTAAACACTAAAAGTGGCAGAGCGGTATAGCTTAATTGGTCTGTCATATGTGGTGGGAAGCCGTCTCTGCAGTACCTCGGCAGCCAAAAAGTTGTCGCCCCTAGACTAACTACTGCATCTTCCCAATATGGTCTAACCTGGTGTTGTGCAACACAACAGTAAATCATGTCTACTTTCTTCTCCTTTGCAGCAATCTCCAGGTAACACGGTCAACGTTTACAACTTTTGTCTTTCATTAAAGCTTTTCGTTTAAGGGGCGATACTGATACCCTTATAAGGGTCGTGAAGGAGCATAAAAATGCTAAGTGTATGTCTTGGCGCCTTTTAGAATAGGCTAATCTACACTGTTGCTGAAGCAAGAGAGGGTGATCTCATGCTGTCTGGAAGAGGAGGAGACACTTGCTGAGAGGACCACCACAAACTTGCTAACTGCAGCACACAATGAAACGTGGTATGCATATCATTTCCATGACGACAAGAGTTCTTTTTTCTCTCTATTATTAATTTTTATAGGGGCTTGCCCCTTCCATAGAGATAATACGTAGTAGTATAATATAAAAATGAGTGGAGACAAGTAAATTAAAAATCCTGTGAATTTAAAAAAAGAGGCATATAGGGATGGTATAAAAAGAAAGGGAGACAAGATAGGGATGGGATACATGAAGCATGGTTAATGAACAGATTTGAGTACGCTGACACCCCCAACCCCATCACACAATCCCTATATTGTTGCCAAGGTGAAGTATTAAACATTGACCATTACAATACTCACAACTTACTATACACTATTGAGTAACCAACACCCTTATAAAGTCCAAGTGGAGTTTAATTAAAGGGAATGTGGCAGTATAAATGTTACTAAAAACAACAGGGACACGGTGAAAGAATGCTTGCTTTTAGTAACCTTTAGCCCCCATAAGAGTAGCACACCAGGCAACAATATAGGGATTGTGTGATGGGGTTGGGGGTGTCAGCGTACTCAAATCTGTTCATTAACCATGCTTCATGTATCCCATCCCTATCTTGTCTCCCTTCCTTTTATACCATCCCTATATGCCTCTTTTTTTAAATTCACAGGATTTTTAATTTACTGAGTAATTATAGGGATGGGCATGGTACCTAGCATCATAGATATATGGGGCTATGATAGGGAGTTTTGTTCATCTTCTTCTCCTTCTTCTTCTTCAGATTGAACTCGTGTAACTCACGAAACAAAATATAGTAATGAAATTTTGTAAGAATGTAGATATCAGCCACCCGAAGAGACTGGTCATACTTTTTGTAAACAACATTGTTTACTGTAAACAAAAACAAATAGCCCCAGGCAATACATTATAATGGGATCACATGTATCAGTCTAACTCACAAATGGTAAGAGTTATGTGAATGAAACATTGTAGACATAATGTATTCAATCACTAACATTAAAATCACATCAACCCATGTTTGTAAACAACAACAAATAGCCTCAGGCACTTCCGTTTAAATTTACTTCTTCACTCCTTAAACTTTCCAATGGTAGCACGCATAGAGATGAAACTTGGTATGTATGCCTATTATATCTTTTCCATGACGATTACATGTTTCCATGACGACCGTATATTGTTTGAAAAAGCCTCAGACAATTCTCTTTAAAACCACTTGTTCACTCCTCAAACTTGCTAACTGCAGCACACGTGGAAGTGAAACTTGGTACGCATGCATAATATATCATTTCCATGACAACCACAACAACAAATAGCCTCAGGCACATTACTTCTTCACTTCTCAAACTTGCTAAAGGTAGCACACGCATGGAGGTGACACTTGGTACGCATGCATAATAAATCGTTTCCATGACAACCACAATAACAAATAGCCTCAGGCACTTTTCTTAAAAATTACGTCTTCACTTCTCAAACTTGCTAAAGGTAGCACGCATGGAGATGAAACTTGGTACACATTTATATTTACATCATTTCCATGAAAACTACATCGTTCCATGACGACTACATATTGTTCAAATAGTTTCAGGCACTTCTCCTCAAACTTGCTATAAGTAGCACTCATGGAGATGAAACTTGGTAAGAATGCGTGTGAGAATCAAAGAAGTGTGGAATATAGGGATGCCATAAAAAGTATGGAGACAAGACAGGGATGACCTAGTGAACATGATGCAGTAGTACAATGGATGATGGCTACATACTTTGAACTGACATCGCTCGTGTAAACTTTCCTCCACACAACAGAGCTAACATGGCCCCAGGGTCCATATCACGATGTGACAGATTGACTTCTCGAGCATCCACTCGGCTGATGACTGTAGTGTCCTGGACTCTCCATCTGCTATGGAGTTGATCACGCCCGGCAGGTGTACTGCCGACAGGGTTATCCCCTGCTGGAGGCACCAGTGCCATAGATCGCACGCTGCCTGCGATAGGGTCTGAGACCTCGTGCCTCCCATCCTGTTGATGTACGCTATGGCCGTCGTGTTGTCCATTCTGAGAAGGACATGGATGTTTTTCCTGCCCTTCGTGAAAGTCTTCGTGGCGAGAGCTCTGCCGGCCAGCTCCAGGAGATTTATGTGGTGGGTTCTCTCCTCCTTGGACCAAAGGCCGCCAGTGCTCATCTGCTCTGTGGCCGCTCCCCTGCGGAGTGACACATCTGTCTCTATGGTCCGGGGTCAGTGGGAGAATTGGGCGGCCGTTCCACCGGTTGAGCATTTCTATCCACCACTCCAGCTCTGCCTTCGATTCCTCGTTCAGAAACGCCATAGTCTGGAAGGACTGTGTTTTCTTCAGTGTTCGTATCTTCAAGTCCTGGAGCTCTCTGTAGTGTAGTGGAGCTGGCAAGACAGCCAGTGTCGTCACTGACATCATTCCAATTAGTCTCGACAAGTCCCTCACTGACACCATATCCTTGCGAAGAGTCGACTGGCATCCCTTCAGGATCTTCTGCACCTTTTCTTCTGGTAAGGTTAGTGTCATGAGAGCTGTGTCGATTGTGAGGCCCAGATACACCAGTTTGTGTGTTGGGAGTAGTTGTGAACTTTCCCCAGTTGATCCTGAACCCCAGCAGCCTGAGGAGAGCCAGGACTTCCTGTGACTGGCGTTCCAGCTTGATTCTGCCATCAGCAGCATATCGGAAGATCATACTCCGTAGCCCCCTCTGTCTGATGAGGGCCATGACTGGTTTCAGTAGCTCCGTGAATACTCGCGGAGCACTGCTGAGCCCAAAGGGGAGACACTGGAACTCGTACACCCTCTCCTCCCATGTGAACCGTAGATACTTCCTGTCCCCCTCCTCGAGTGGTACCGAGAGGTAGGCATCCTTCAGGTCGATCGAGACCAACCAGTCATTCCTCCTGACCAGGTCCTTCAGTGTTCTCGCACTGTCCATTTTGAATTTGCGCCTTGCCATCAAATGGTTCAGCGGTTTCAGGGTTACGACTGGTCGCTGCGATCCGTCCTTCTTGGGAACTAGGAAGATCTGGCTGATAAACTGGTCTGGTCGGGGGTTGACCTTCCGCATCGCAGACTTTTGCTCCAGTTCCTGGATTTTGTCTGAAATCATCTGGCTGAGCTCTGTTGCAAACCGTAACGGCCTCGGTGGTTGGCCTTGTCGCGGTTCCCTGATTAGCTCCAAGGGGTATCCCGTCGCCACTTGCCAGATCCATGGGTCCGAGGTTATTCGTTTTCAATTCAACAGGCAGAATCTCATTCCAGGTGTGGAATAGGTACGAGAGTAGTGTCAAGGGTATTGGTTAGCAGCGGGGGCTGTGGGGTCAGTTCGGCTATTGGTAGGATGCTCTGTCCTGGAAGCTTTGCTTCTTTGCCCCTTTGCCCTTTTGATTGTGTTCTCCCTGATGTTACTGGTATCTTCTTCCTCTTTGAAACCTGCTGAAAGTGTACGGTTGGGGGGAGCGATTCTTCGCGTTCCCGTACTGAACCGAAGCGCCCTTGGATAAAAAAAACTTCGCAGGTCGGATTTGTCATTCTCATACCTTCCTCTTTTGGTGTTTTGAATAGGCGGTTTTGTTACCTTGGAGAGGGTTTTCTCGACCTCCAGTCTCTTAGAAGCTTTCTCCAGGAAGCCAGGTCCAAACAAGTCCGTACCCCTTTCGCCATACTCCTCAGAGCCCAGACTCCTTAGTTTGGTGTTCATCTTGGCCCAAACTAGCTTGCGACGCTCGATGCTGATGGAATGCGACGCACTCCCTAGAGCTAAAGGTTACTAAAAGCAAGCATTCTTTCACCGTGTCCCTGTTGCTTTTAATACTGCTACATTCCCTTTAATTAAACTCCATTTGGACTCTATAAGAGTGCTGGTTACTCAGTAGCATGACCTTTATGCATTATAAGTTCTGAGTATTGTAATGGTGAATGTTTAATACTTCACCTAGGCAACAATATAGGGATTGTGTGATGGGGTCGGGGGTGTCAGCGCACTCAAATCTGTTCTTTAACCATGCTTCATATATCCCATCCCTATATCCCTCTTTTATAAATTCGCAGGATTTTTAATTTACTTGTAATAATTAAAGAGTTACGACTACTAGCACTGTTTGTTATTGATATACCTGGATTTGGTTCTAACACATCAGAGAAAAAAACTTTCACAAAGGCTGGATGCCACAAACACTGCAACTGTTTCTGCACATACGTGAATAGCCTCAATAACCTGTAAAGAATGTAAAACACTCTAGAGCCTGTACAGTACACATTGCTTAATATTCACAAATACTGCACACAAAGGGATGGGCTTTCTGTGCAGCATCATACAAGTAAGGGGGCTATGTTTTTCTCCTCTTTAATCAACATTACTAATATAGAACTAAGAATGAAATGTAGTTATATCTATAACAACAGGCAAACCCTTTCGCGCCCTATAAACATGCGAGCGTATTAGTACAATCTACAGGTAATTGATGGGCTGGGCTATGCTGCTGTTTCACTCGTGGTCTCGCTAAGAGTCTGCCGCAACTAGCGTTTTAGGGATTGCAGAACTCGATAATACTCCTCCTTTGTAACTTCTGATGCCTCCACGGTACACTAAAGAGGCGAATGCAGTCAAGGTAAGCTAGTGTATACTTGCATAACCATCGAATGTAAAGATTACTATAATAAACACGAAATAGTCCAAGTCGGCATGTTTGAAGTTTTTGAGCTATTTACACTACAAGACAATGTACAGAAATTTTTAAAAAGGAGAATATAAAAAGGACGGGAGACAAAGAGGGAAGGTATGTTTAGGAACATTAGGCAAGCCAATCACACAATCCTTACTATAAGTACTTCCAGGTGCGGCATTCACAAACTCTACTTAATGGTGGTGGTAGCACCGTACATTTGTCACTTGTCCTTTACATTTACCAAACGTATACGTACTGGTAAATGTTCAACGCTTAACAATAATATAGAGATTGCATGATGAGCTTAGGGGTATTAGTGTGCTAACAATCTGTTCGTATGCCATTCTTCGTGTATCCCATCCCCAGCTTGTCTCCCTTACATTTTTATATCATCCCTATATTTGACCCCCTTCTAAAAATTCGCATGATTTTGTCTCCTCTCGATAATAATACGTATCTTTTGGAGAGGGGGCAAGCCCCTTTTAATAATCTACCTTATTGACTGTGTAGTAAGATGCATTGTAGCCAGGTACACACTCAGACAAAGGCACAGACATGGCTATTAGTTATGCATACGCCCAATGTGTGGCATTACTCATGAGGAGGTCAGGTAATAACCATGGCAATAGGTGTATTATAAATTAAACACCATGGTAGCGGGTGCATTAACGATGTAAAAAAACCAGCAGTTGGGCTGATTAACTATTCTGAACTACAAAACGGCTAGATTTGATGCCAGTTTAGTACACGAAGTGTAGTGAGTCACACATAGAACTTCAGTTGATATGTGCGCAAAATGCTACGGAAACACTACATTCGAGTGTGCTCAAAATCTTGGTTGTTCAAGCTGCGGTCTGCTATGTTCACCGTGTTACCACAGATCAATAATAATGTGACTGTGCCAACCATCATTATGTCGGAATGGTTTGTTTTCATGTGATGTTTGAGAAATCAAAAACTTCATTTTTGCGCCAAATTAGGGTGTAAGTCTATCTCGACATCGGCTTCTGGTACCTTTATGGCACATACAACCGTACCTTCCGTGCTTAAAGAGTAGAGCTTTATAAAGGATTGCACCCCAGTTGTTGGTGAAATTTATAAACCCAAGTTTGATCCAAGACACTGGTGTAGTATGCATTGTACTGGCTCTGGAATGCTTGTGTACCTAACATCTATTTCTCCTTTGCACCAGCCAAAGAGTGGGTGCCAGAAGCAAGCATTGCTCTCAGGTTTTATCCCAGTGTCCTCACATAAAGGAAGAAGCTGCAGCATCAAGTTCTGCAGAGAAAAAAATGTGTTTGTAACAGCGGATATAATGTCCAGCTATAAACAAACTGCCACATGGTATGCAATTAGAAATGAACTTGAAACTCTAGTGACTTCCAATATTGAAACCCTCATACATCCCATACGATGAATGGCACAACACAGATTAGATGCAGTATATGCTGAAAATTACAAGAGAAATGCAACGCATTTCGGCAAATGAAGCAAGCCACTCAATTCTATACGAATTTTACGGATATTTAGAATCACGCACAACAAATATATTATATACAAGTAAATTTAAAATCCTGAATATAGGCATATAAAAAGCCAAATTCGCCCCATTTTATGCCCCAAAAATTATAGAGCACACCATGCATGTAAATTTTTCCTCCATGCATGTACATTTTCCTCCACACAAGCCCTATATTGTCGCCACTTTTACTCACAACATGAATTTGTTTAGTGTGAGGACAATGGTAGAGAAATTCTCTGGAGGGCCACAAACACAACATTGTAAAACGCATTGTCATCAGAGCACAATCGCTTACCACAAAGTCATTTTTCTTCTTTCTATCCAAAAGTCTCTGCATAAAAACCATGATTGTTTGATAGGAGCATTTTAATAAATAATAAATATCAAGTTACCATCCAGAAGTATTTGCCTCAGCCTTGCACACAAGCCTTTAAAACAACCACATAAAATAGAAGGCTACTGTCTTTGGCTGCCTTCTTCAAAACAACACCTAAGCAAAAACGCCACTCATCCCTGCAAGCTCAGCTGATGGGCTAGAAAACCTTGCATGCAGCGACTCAACTAGTCAATTCATATTAGAGGTAACACTTTAAGGATCTGATGTAGGGTAACATTGGAATACAAGTGTATATGTAGGTAGTATAACAAGAGATGTATGCGAATTTCTACGATACTTCTGCCCAAAATCTTATACCGTTAGACTTGGAAGTGCTAGACGAACGTGATAGCAGTTGAATAGCACATAGGGAAATTATAAATGCTGCTAACTCCACCCCGTCGGAACAGCATCTACATGACCTCCACATAAACCAGTTCCCACATGTGTAATTTGCTCTCATTTTACCACGTGCAAAACCTTTAAAAAGGCCTACACTTACAAGAGCTGCATGCAAAAGTCTATTACTCTTAACTAGAAAAGGTTTGAGGTAAGCGACAATAAATTCCATATACTTTAATTCATGAACTAAACACAAGTGGGAGGTAAAAAAGTTGCTGTGGATGTGAGGTGTCAGGTAGAAGTTTACTACATTATGAAAATTACTTTTCCTTCGTGTGATGCCAGATAAAGAAGATTGCCTGTGTGATTGAAAGATAAATTAATAAACAAAATTATAGCTGCAAACTTACACACAATGGAAATAGCAGAATTTGAATTGAGACCAGAAGCAAAACTCTTGATATCTAATAACACCTTTGTCACTTGAGAAAATAACTCCACCTTTAGCAAACTGTCAATGACCTACAATCAATTTTTCTCAGGTCATAAGATGGAAGCGAGAATGTAAAAACCAACTTCTTAAACTGGGGATTAAGAAAAAAGCTGGTATCCACACTCTCTCTCATAGCACATGATAGCAAATTTAACTGAAGCTGAAAAAAGGGGTGCAATTTAAAAATCGAGGCAATGGATGCTCAAGTGAAGACAAGGAGTTAAGTACATGCACAGTTTGAGTGAAGTACTGTTCTTCTATAAAACCATACACACTTTTAGATACAAAAACTCCTCACAACATGGAATCTCAAGTATTTTTGGTGCAAAAAGGCCTGTGTGGCCAGAAGACTCTAGTAGTGAAGAATAAGTAGATTTTCTGTGGTTTTTCTCACTGAATATGGTGGTTGCATAACATAACCAGCATATATTTTTCTAGTGCAATTGACTCAGTCATTTTGAGGTCTGTCATGGATCTTATGTTTGCCTCACTCTATTTATCGGTGTATCTTGTGGGAAAAAGTTGTGATAGTGGACTGTCAAATTTGTTATACAGGGGTATCTGATGAAGACATTTGGTTTTTAATTAGCATTTTATCTACAGCCACTAACACCCCAAGACAAAAGCCCCTCACTGTAGTATGTTTAGCAGCCTTCAGAAAGCGATAGAAGATCAGCCAGATGCTGAGCTTTCGGTTTGCGATATGAAAAATGATAAACAACAGATTTTAACATAAACACATAAACCCAGCCCATCAATTAGTGGTACGGCACATGCGTTTACTTACGCGCGCGCGTCACAGTGCGCCGAGGGTTTGCACTTCAGTGCTTTTCAGAATTTGGAAATTTCTCAGCAAGTTCCAGCCATTACGGTAAGACAGTATCCACTTTCCTTTTTCAACGTATACACAATGTATAAGTTAATACACCTTTCAATCAGTAACCTTCAATACACGTCTACGCACTTACATACTCATGTATTTATGATCTCGGTACTCTCACATTGGATAGGAGCTCATTTGCGCTGCCTACTGTAGCTCTCCCATAGCCCAGTGCACAGTGGCAGAGCACTTGCCGGGGAAGCAAGAGGTGGGTTCAAATCCAACAAGTGGAGCTGATTTTTCTTTCATTCTCTGCTTTCTACCCTCTTCCTCTCTTTCCGACTACAGCACTCCTAACCATTCAGCCTACCAGGCGTAAGATCGTAAGCGAGATCAACAGAATAATTAATCTGAGGTAATCCGGTGAAGAAAGCTGTCAATGCCAACGCTTACATTACTTCAGTTTACATCGTCTTCTAACATGACAGTGTCCTTACTGTCATGCATTTGCATCCAGCACACTCAGTTGAGACCTTTAAGCCTATCCAACCCCGTGCAGTATTGAATATCGGAGGTATTCAAGACTGCACGAGGTGTATATATAATATATATATATATATGCACTGAAGTCATGGGTGTCTGGACCTGTACTGCATGTTTAGTTCTCGTTCTCCTCATCCTAGGAACTGGCATGCGCTTCTTTGTGGCATTTCTCTTTGCTGTTAAAGGATGTGAATTCAAAGTGTGGCAGTTTTCTTTGAGCTTAGAGAGCACTGCGGTGAGGTTTCTGTACATCTCAGTTAATTCAGTGATTAATTTGCACAGAACCTGAGTGCACCAAATCTTCTTCATTATTGCCCTTGCGCATCCAAATCTATATGTGGATGTGTGCACTGTCTAACCAAAGATAACTGTCTGTTTGAGCTATTAATGGTGACAATATCAAGTTTGTGAAACCAAAATGGTGCGTGTGTCTGCAGTGACGTATGCTCCTGCTAACTTGTTTTATTGAGGTCTTTCAAGTTTTGAGGTCTTCAAAGTTTGTTACAACTTCCTTTTCATCTGCAGGTGATGGCTCTTCGCTGTAACAACTACTACATTCACCTGTGAAACATTGCTGTTTGTGTAACGCACAGGCAATGCATCTTGCCGATTTTTCTGTGAAGCAAATTACATAACATACGTAGGTGGTGTTCCAATACCATTTTTCAGGATGTGCATTAGTGTTGCAATTGACACTCCCAAATTTGATTTAAGCAGAATCTACACCCTCAGAAGTAACTTCTCAAATTAGATCGCTAACAGCTAACCTACACCGCAGTACACCGCGGTACAACCCAGAGTATGCACTTTTTGATGCTCTCTACACTAGATTCCAGGTAACGCAGGGATGCCCTTGAGTTGTGTTGTGATATAATATAAGCTAAACTGCTGTATCCGCTCACTTCATTCTGATCATTAGCTGTGACTTGTAGTATGCATAGCACACTTTGCAGGGGGTGAGGTATTTTCGTGTAGGTGCTGCTCTATATATGAGTACAGGTTGTCTACCACTACCTTTCAATGAAGTGTAGCATGTTGAACAGTTTAACCATGCACGTTTCTTTAGATTGTTATAAACAATGTGGTAGCGTGTCTTGCAAAATGCGGTTGTCGGATAATGCATCTATTATAGCTCATCTGCCAACACAATGTCTCACAACATCAAAGATCACAATAGAGTCCTCTCCCTCTTTGATCTAGAAACCAGTGTTAGGTTCAGGAAATAACCTGTCTGCGTGCTCTACATACAATTGGGATAATAAGAACAAGTACTTATACTGGCAGAGCTGGCCGCTGTGAAATGCATCTAGTTCCAAGTGACAGTCTGGGTACCTCTCTGGAGACGAGGAGGGAGTTCTCATTCCAGGTTGATAGTCTGGAAGCCACTCTGAAGACAAGGAGGGAGTGCGTATCGTTTCAGGTGACAGTCTGGGTGCCACTATGGATACAAGGAGGGAGTGTGTCTCGTTCCAAGTGACAGTATGAGTGCCACTCTGGAGACGAGGAGAGGCTGATCCTGGAAAGCAACAGGCACTGCATAGAGAGGGATAAAAGTTGTTAGGACAGTGCTGCCACAAAACCTTTGGGTCGGGCTGTAGCTCACTTGGTTATAGTGGAGCTTCTGCTAGGGCTGCCGCGATGCTGTTGGTCTTGCTGGTCAGAAGGCTGATGTGACACGGCCAGAGCAGTAGCTAGCTGTTCCAGTGACCAAGGGTTTGGGTCCTCCAGTCTAGGGTGCCAGTTCCGGCTGCTGCTGAGCATGCTCTGATTTGGAAGGAGTGGGAGGAGTACCGCTGTAGCTCAACTCCACACCGTAAGGCAAGGTCTTGGATCAGGTGGTTGAGCCTCTGGCACGTTAGAGCCGCTGTCTGAAGGCAGAACAGATTGCATTTGGGTCACTTGGGTGAGGCCTGTGGGGCATGACCAAAACCTCTGCATACGAAACCATAAGAGAGAGTCAGCAATAACATTGTGGGTGCCTGGAATGTGCACAGTAAAAATAGCAGCAATGAGAAAGAAGTTACGGAAGAGAACCATTACGTGGGGGCAACAGGAGCAGAAAGACACCTAGCACCACAATATCCTGTAGTTATCGCAGAGTAAGCAGATGTGTATGCAACCGTTGGCGATAACTCAATTGGGAATAGCTACCTTAGCTGGATAATGCGTTCCAGCTGAGCCGTAGACAAGCGACCGTTGAACAACTCACCCTGGCATAGGCATCAAAACCGATGGTCACTGAGCTGTCGGTAAAGAGCTAGAAGTCGGGGAGGGGTGGCATTCCTGGAGGAGGAAGAACAATCGACCATTCCACCGTGTAGTAAACTCCTGAAACCATTGGAGGGCAAGCACAAAGGCCACGGAAAGGGCTAGTCCAGAGAAGCAACAGAGGAGCTAAGGTCGATCATTCTTGTTAGGAAGGTCCTTCGAGCTGGAATCACCTTAGCTACAAAGCTGAGGGTGTCGATGAGGGAAAGAACAGTTCCTGCTTAGAGCAGCTGTAACAGGTAGCCCAGGTGCCCAGGGAATGGTGTATGTCCAGGAATTTGTCAGTATGGAGGCGTGCTTCAAGGAAAGCAGAGTCAAGCCCTCCAGGTAGTAGTGGATGGGAGTGGTCTGTGCTTGACAGCTCTCCACTTGAGAGCTTCAGCAAGGCAATTGAAGATGAAAGGAACTGCCCTGAAGCAAAAGAACCTGGCTGTCTCCCTCCTGAAGGCAACGTCACACGCAAAACACAAATCTGTTCGTATACCATGCTTTGTGTGTCCCATCCATCGTTTGCCTCCCTTTCTTTCCCTATTTTCTTGTCTTCTCTCATTTTATACACTACAACGTATATACATATTTGTGAAGGGGGTTGCCTCCGATAATAATCACAAAAAAATACAAAAAGTGTCATTCTTTTTTAAGTGCAAATTTCCATCTTCACTCGTCAAACTTGTCTGCATAGTATTATACACATTAATGACACACAAGGCAGTCTATTATTAGGAGTTTGCCCCCTTTGATAATAATAATATGTAGAAGTATAAAAACGAGGAGACAAGTAAATATAAAATCCTGCTTCCGGCTGCATTTCTGTGTGAGAGCCGAAAATGGTGTGTCTGGGTTGTTAGTGAGACTGCGATCCAGCATCTTGAAGACTTGCTGTGTGCGTTTCGTGCAGCGGTGGCGAATTAAAAAGAGAGGAATATGGAAGGGAGGCTAGATAGGGATGGCACACACGAAGCATGGTCAACGAACAAATTCGATTTGGACTCTATAACGGTACTCAGTAGAATGACATTTTCAAGCTATAATAACTTCACCAGGCAACTTGACTCACTTTGACTACTTCTCCATATCAACCAATTGTTCCACTTTTCAGGCACTGCCTTGTGCCAATGGAGCTACGTAGGCAGTCACATAATACTAATCATCAGTAGTCCTTGCTCCCTACTGTACATGCGTACAAGTCCAAAGTTGAAATAATGAAAAATTTACTTACATAAGGGGAAGAGCAGTAAAGATGAAACATTGATCCTGGTACTGATAGCACATGATACCCAAATTGTATGACTACATCAGGCGAGAAGCTCTTAAGAGCCAAGAACCTGAAAAGAAAATTAAAGCTAATGTGAATGAAAAGCACTGAAGTGCAAACTATCGGCGCACTGTGCATGTGTGGTACATTTAAGTATGGTCTCCAACAGCTTGCGGAGAGTTGGACAGGGGCTAGCTTCACTTGCAAATATCATGCTGAAATCAACACACACCCTTCGTTGTAACTTCTTGTGCCTCCAAGCTAGACTGAGCTCGTGAAAAGGTCGAAGTAAGGCAGCGCATACTGCTTCTTTTATAGCATACCTCTCGAACACAGTCAGTTAAGGAAAGGCTCGGGCGGTAGGCTCGCTTAGTTCTGAAGCCATTGGTATTGCTTATAGGCTACCTTGTAGCCTGTAGTGTGAGAATACCGTATAGCAGAATATATTTCCTGGTGCAAAATTTCGCGAAGTTGCCTTTGGGACTTCCAGAAAGAATTTTCGTGTAGTGCTGCTCAGCCTCAACCACGCCCACTTTACCTGTCTGCAGTGCCATGCCAAGCGGTGCTTTCATCACGCGTACGTCTACTGTGAGACATACCTGAGAAGGCTTTCTTATCTCTTTGTACCGTGGGGAGGTGTCTATCTTTGATAGGCATTAAAAAGGGGGTGTGCGGCATACATACATAACAGTTCTGATGATGCAGGGCTAGCCCTGCCTCCAACCCACGCTCGTGCGCAGTGAAAATTTTCGTGGTGTTTCTATTTTCGATATTCGTGGAATAAGACATATAGACCAAGTACCTTGCATGATAAGGGTTAATTATCATAATTTATAGAACTCAACTCCCTGACATACCAGAGCACCTCAACAGGCAAGGCACTACACACGACTCAGGCAAATTTAAAACATTTTATGCTACACTACACAATATATGTAGTTCCTTCACTATGCCATCTTTCATGATTTA